CTTGGGGCCGCTGTGTGCACTGCAGCTTATTTTTGGGTGGTCCCCACCTCTGCCACCCTGACCGGCGGCCTGTCTCTGCTCCAGAACACACCCTTTCCGTGCCTGGACAGTGTGTTCCTCGTTGGGGAGACTGGTCTCCCCTGTAGCTCTTTTGTGTTTCGAGCGCGCTCGCTGAGAGGTGCTGACACGCAGCCGCGTTCACGACCGAGGAGCACAGCGTGTTAACACGCCTCACTCGTGTGGGCCCCCGGCGCCGGCTCCCGCCTGGCCGGCGCCGGCCCTCGGCGAGTCGAAGGTTCAGGGTGGGCGGCAGCGGCAGGTGCACTTCCTGTGTGGGGCTCGGGCTGTCCTGGTTGCAGGTTTCTGTCTTTAAATAGCACCCCTGCGCCCCGCCCCCGGTGCTCTGTCCTCTCTGTTTTTGGAATGGTTTGGCTTTTGCAGCTTCCACACGTTCGCAGCCTCAGGCAGCAGCTGCGGTTCCTGTCTGACCCCCTCGCTGAGCCAGTCCAGGTCCGTCCGCGCTGTGGTAAACGGCAGGGTTCCCTTCTTTCTCGTGCCTGAGTAGCGTTCCACGGGGTGTGCAGGCAGCGCCTTATCTGCCTGTCTATCTGGTGGCGTTTGAGCTGCTTCCCTCGGCTGCCGCCTGTGAGCGAGACGCCGCGGTGAGCGCGAGGCAGCAGGGAGCTCGCACACCCGGCCTCGGCTGCGCTCCCGTGCGCTCGCCCAGGGGGCACCGCTGGGTCAGGACACAGTTTCCTGTTTCATTTTTTCGAGGAGCCTCCGGACCGTTCCCGCAGCGGCGGCCCCCTCTGCAGTGCATGAGGCCCCTTTCCTCCACGTCCTCGCCGGCACGTGTTGTTTTGTCTTTTTGATGCTGGTGGTTCTGAGGTGTGTGAGGTGATATCTCACTGTAGTGTTTTTAAAAGATTTTACTTATTTATTTTTAGGGGGGAAATAAAGGGAGAAAGAGAGGGAGAGGCACATCGATGTGAGGGAGAAACATGGATCGGTTGCCTCTCACACGCTCCCTGACCAGGGGCGGAACCTGCCCCCTCCCCCCCCCGGGCATGTGCTGTGACCGGGAATCGAACCGGTGACCTTTCGCGCTGCCGGGCGACGCCCAACCCCGCTGAGCCACACTGGGCAGAGCGCACTGCAGTGCTTTTTTGCATTTCCCTGGTGATTACCGCCCTTGAGCCTCTTTTCACGTACCTGTTGGCCACCTGCATGTCATCTTTGGAAAAACGTCTATTCAGGTGTTTGCCCATTTTGAAATGGAATCATTTGGGGTGTTTGTAATTGAGCGGTATGAGCCCTTCGTGCATTTTGGACACTAACTCTTCCTGAGAGACACGGTTTGTGACGCTTGTCGCTCGGCGCGGTGCCTTGTCAGCCGACCGAGGGCCTCCGTGGCCGTTTAACATGGTCCCACCTGCTAATCGTGCGTTTGGTATCAGGTCCAGGAGCTCGTTGCCTGGCCAACGTCGAGGGTCTTCTCCCCGTTGTCCTCTAGGAACTGGGCCGTTTCGGGTCTCGCGTTCCGCCTTCGACCCGTTCTGCGTTGATTTTGGGGAGTGGAGGCAGACGGGGCCCCGCTTCCTTCTTGTGCCCGTGGCTGTCCAGCGTCCCACCGCCATCTGTCGAAGACCCTCTCTTTCCCGCACTGTGTGTCCATGGCCCCTTGTCCGCGGTCAGATGCCCACAGGTGTGTGGGTTGACTTCTGGCTGCTCTAGCCGGCCGCTCGGGCCTGCGTGCCGGCTGCATGCCGGTCCACGCCGCTGCGATCGCAACGGCTTTGTAACGCAGCGACCACGGAAGCGTGGGGCCGCCGGCTTTCCCCTCTTCCTCGCCACTGCTCTGGCTGCGATCTGGGGTTTTTTGTCGTTCGAAACAGATTTGAGGATGTCTCTTCCCCTTACATCTATGAAAAACACCTTCCTAAAACAAATGTCCGGCGACCACATTTTGCTGTGGAAAAGGGCTGCGTTTTTGGCCCAAACTTTCAGGGTAAAAAATCTTTCATGTTACGGTATATGGACATGGAATTAGGACTCACCATGTATACAAGGTGCACCCTTATCTTTCCCTCAAAAATCTGGGCAAAAAGTGTGCATGATTCACAGCAAAATATATCGTCTCTGTGTGAGGCTCGTCCCCTCGCCCCGGACGAAGCGCCTCTCCCCCCGGCCCTGGGGTTCGGCCGAGCGGCTCAGGGACGCGTGCGGCTTTCTGCACGTCCCTTGCGAGCTCGTCCCCGGCCGCTCGTTGCGGCCAGTGTTCCCAGAGCGTTTTCCTCTGCTTCGCTCGGTAGCTGTGCGCGGAGGCCACGGGCCCGCGGCGACCGGGTGCGCAGCCCACCCCCGACCTCTGCGGGGAGCTTCCTTCGCGTCCTTCCCAACGGGAACCGGACGCGGGGCCAGGGCTCGGGCCCTTCTTCTCGGAGGGACGGTCTCGCTGTTTCCATGGGGGACCCCCCAGACTTGGCGGCTTCAAGCGATAATCCACATTTATTATCCCACGGTCGGCGGTGGCTTGGCTGGTGGTGGCTCTGGGTCGAGGTCCCTCAGGGGCTGCAGTGGAGGGGGCCGCTGTCCGAAGGGGCGCCGTGTGCTCGCCGCGCACACGCGCGGGGCAGCCGGGCAGCCGGGCAGCGGCTCGGGGCGGGAGGCCTCAGGCCCTCCGGGCGGCTCTCTGCGGCCTGCTCGGACCTCGTCCCCACTCCACAGAGCGGGGCCCGGCACAGCCTCCGATTCCGCGGGTCACACAGCTCGGCCGGTTCAGGGTTCAAGAGGACAGATGGTGCGAGGCTGAGGCTCTGGGGAGGGCACCCGGGCCCTGTGTGCGACGGGGGGGCTGGGCGCTGTGCCACCAGCCCGATGCTGAGCCCCCGCCGGCGGCCAGGGTGCTCGGGGTCTCACGCGGCCCGAGCGTGGCCGTGCACAGGAAACCTGGGCGGGCGGGGGCAGCATCAAATGCAACGAGGCTGCTGGGGGCTGCCCTGCTGTCCCTGCGGCGGGCAGTGCGGGGCTCTCAGCCCAGATGCCACCCTGCGCCCGGGGGCTGGGACGCAGCCGCCCAGGTAGGAGGGCAGGTCCCAGGGGCCCAGACTGGCCTGTCAGTTCCAGGGGGTGGGGCCGTCGCGTAGGGGGGCCGCCCCCAACCTAGGTCGCGACCCTCCCGCGGGCCGGGCTGCCTTGGCGGCGGACGCGGCCCCCACTCCCGCCGGGCGCCGGCTGCCGGGCGCGGCCGCCTCGGGGCGCGGGTTCGGATCCCGGGCGCGCGGGGCGGGCGGGGCGGCCCGGGCGGGGCGGTGCCGGGCGGGGGGCGGGGTGGGGGCGGGGCGGGGGCAGTGAGGTAATTTCCGCGCTCGGGCGTCAGAGGTTTGAGTCACCCGGGGGCAGAATCGAAAGTGATCGCGCGGCGGGCGCGGCCGGATCGGGGGTAAGTGCAGCGATGTGGGGTCGCTGCCGCGGAGGCGGCGCCCGGCGCCCGGGGCGGGGGCTGCTGGGCCCCGGGCGCAGGGCAGGCGGGGCGGGGTAAGGGGCCGGCGCCCGGAGACCCCGAGGCAGCCGCGGGGATGGGGACCCAGCCGCGATCCCCGCCGGACAACCGCGCAGCCCCCCGCCGGTACCTAGGGGGCGCGGTGATCGCCCGACCCGGAGATCCCCGCGCTTCGGCAGCGTCCCCACCCGCTGGCACCGCCCCCGTTTCTGCAAATGCGCCCGGGGTCTCGACCGGCTGCTGGCGGGGGCACTCAAGTTTCCACCTCGGAGCCGGGCGGGCTCCTGACTCCGGTCTGACCTCCGGTCACTTCCTTCCGAGCCTCTTCTGTGCGCCGGCCTGAGTTTCCCCTGAAAGTTCCCTTCGGAGGGAGCGGCAGCGGTTGCTAGGAGCCGGTTCCCTTGTCTCTGATTTCGGAGCCCCCCGGGGAAACCCCCAGGTCTCTCCGGACCGGATGGGGACTGCACTGCCTGCCACCTGCGCAGCTCTGCTGCCGGTCCTCCTGGCCTCCCCCACTGCCCCGCGGCCCCCCGGGGGGAGGACACCGGTCCCCTGCAGACAGGTCTGGGGGGCCCTGTTCCCGGAGCCAACTGTCCCTTCACGGGACAGGGGGTGCTGTGCCCTGAGACCAGTCAGGAGATGGGCCCTTTAGGGTCTTGGGTGCAAGGGTCCAGGAGGGGGCTGGCGGGCGGGGAGGTGGCAGCCGGAAATTCCCCGGCCTCCAGGGCGCCTGGTGCGGGGGCACCCCCCGCCATCGCAGCCAGTCGGCTCCTCCTGAGCGGGGCCCAGAGACCCTTCAGAAAGGGAGGGGCCTGGGCCGGGTCAGGGCGAGCGGGCCAGCCCTCCTGCACCTGACAGCCCTCCGCTTCTGCCCCCTCAGCAGGAGTCTCCACCTGCTGCGCCTCCCCGGCCCCTTCCGAGCGAGGGGCCCCGTGCGTCGGAGCCCCCACCTGCTAGAGGCGGCAGCCTGCCCTTGCGCCTGGCCACTCTGGCCCCCGAGGACCCGCGGAGCCCTGAATGCCACGCCGCAGGGCCAGGTCGGCATCGGAGATGGTGTCGCCACGGTCCGGCCCCTCGCCCTCCAGACCCGTGGCCGCCCAGGAGCCGCCCCTGGACAGGCTGTTGGCCCAGCTGGACCTGTATCTGGGCTGCCGCCGCTGCACGCAGCGCCTCAACGAGAGCACCTACCTCCTGCAGGAGCTGGAGCACAGATGTCCTCAGGAGATCCTGCTGGCCCGCTCCAAGCCAGCCCCCAAGAGCAAGGTCTGGCGCAAGGTGGGCCGCCGGCCCAGCTTCCCGCGGCCGACGCGCTACGAGGTCTGCCGCTACTACAGCCCTGGGCTGGGCTGCCAGCGGCACCGGAACCAGTGCACCTTTGCCCGAAGCCCCGAGGAGGCGCTGGTCTGGACCTTTGAGCGCAAGCACAACGTCCACTGGCTGTGGCTGAAGGCGGCGGTGCAGGGCGGCGGGGCCGCGCCCGCGGACGGCAGGGTGGCGGGCAGCCCCGCCGACGTCATCCGCGAGGAGTTTGGCGGCCGCTTTCAGCTGCTCTGCGGCCGCTGCTTCCGGCACCGCCCCCCACGCCTCTGCCCTCTGGACCGCGGGGGGTGCTGCCCCAGCCACGGCACCTGCCCCCCGATCCTGGCCCACATGAGCTCCGAGGGCCGCCGCAAGCAGCAGGTGACGGAGGTGCGGCCGCGGCCCCAGCACCGGCAGCTGCTGGCCTACTGCATGTTTGTGGGGCGGGGGCTGCAGTGCCGGCACGGGGCGTCCCGCTGCCAGTACGCCCACAGCGCCGTGGAGATGGCCGTGTGGCAGGCCGAGCGCAGGGAGGGGCTCCAGCGGGCCGACCTGCTCTCGCCCCCGGCGGCCAGCAGCCGCGCCCCTGCGGCCCAGCTGTACTGCAGCGCCTGCCTGGTCACCTGCCACTCCCAGGAGGCCTTCGAGAACCACTGCGCATCCCAGGAGCACATGAGGATGGTGGCCCAGGACCAGACCGTGGTCTGGCAGCACCGCAGCCCCCCCGTGGGGCTCTCCGCCTTCGAGCTCTGTCCCAGGTAGGGACAGCAGGGGGGGGGCTCGGGGAGGGCTCGGGGAGGGGGACGGCCCGCCTCCAGCCAGCCCCACGGGCTCCCATTCTCTCCGCGCGGCCAGCCGGCGCCCGCCCGCCCGGGGAAGCAAGGGGTCCGCGGAAGTGGCTCGTGCCAGCCTTGTCCGGCGGACACAGCCGCAGACGGGACGGGGGCGCCCTGCCCCCGAGCCCGGAATCCGTCCCTGCCCCCGCGCAGGCCCCCCCTGGCTGAGGGGTCTCACGGCGGCGGCCCGCCGGCCTTCCTCCTCTCAGGCCTGAGTTCTGCGAGTACGGGGACGTCTGCACCAGGGCGCACTCGGAGCAGGAGCTGCAGGAGTGGCAGCGGCGGGTGCGCATGGCCGAGCTGCGGGAGCAGGAGGCCTCGCAGGAGGGGCTGCTGCCCTACCGGGAGCGGCTGCTGGCCGAGTACCGGCGCAGCAGCGAGGAGATTCTGGTGGTGAGTGGGGCCCCCGGAGCGGGCCCGGGCGGCCGGGGCCAGGGCTGCCCCACTGACCGCCCGGCTCCCCCGCGCAGTTGGCCGAGACCATCGACGGCGTGACCGTCGCCTGCCACCAGCCCCTGGTGCATCGGGCCCGGGAGAAGAAAATGCAGCACAGCTGGACGTTTGTCATCCACTCCGAGGTGAGCGGCCTGCGCAGCCCGGAGTCGGCGCGAGTCCGGGGCTGCTGCCCGCCCAGCGACCCCTGTCTGCGTGCATGCCCAGCCCTGTGGGGCTGTCTGGTGGGGTGCCTGGCGGGAAGCGAGGGGCCGGGCTGGTCACTGGCCTCCACGCCGCCTGCTCACCTCGCTCCATGCCCACAGGGCAGGCCCGGGGCCCCGCCGTGCAGAGAGGCCAGGCGGGCGGGGCTGTGGGGAGGGTCCGTGTCGGCCCCGGGCCACCTCACCGCCCGGTGTCTCCGCAGGAGCCCCTGAAACACGTGGCCCTGCTCAGGCAGGAGCCGGGCGCAGACTTCTCGCTGGAGGCCCCCTGCCTCCCGCTCGGCCAGGAGTACGCGGAGGGTGAGCGTTTCCGCGTGCCCGACAACCCAGCTGAGTTCCAGGTGCGGGTGCGCGTGCAGAGCGCTTCCTTTGGCACCTTCGAGCAGTGGGTGGTCTTCGACTTTGGCCGCCGGCCAGCTCTGCTGCAGAGGCTGGAGTTGCATCTGGGCCAGGAGCTCCGCCCAGGGGCCGCACCGGCCCCCGGCCCCCGCGAGGAGCTGGAGCGCTGGCACACCGGCAACCGCCATGTGGTCCCTGGCGTGGAGCGCCCGGCGGAGCACGCGGCCCTGATGGCCAAGTACAAGGCGCCGGACCTGGCTCTGGAGTTCCGCCGCGGCGGCCCGGCCCCGGGCCCCCTGACCTGCGCCAGCTACCGAGAGAGGATGCACCAGTTCCTTTATGAGGAGGAGGCTGCCCAGCAGGAGCTGGTGGCCAAGTGCGTGGGGCGGGCGGGCGGGCGGCGGTGAGGGCGCTGGCCGCAGAACACAGCTGTGGCCGGCTAATCGGTGCACGTCTGCCCCCCGCCAGGCTGAACCTCCGGAGCTCCGTGTCCCTGAAGGCGTCCCTCGAGACGCTGGCCCTGGGCATGCTCTTCCCGCCGCCGGGAGCCCTCTACGCCGAGGTCCCCATCCCGCCCTCCCTGACGCCGGACACAGACCAGGGCTTCCTGCTGGGCCGGGCCGTCAGCACGGCGCTCGTGGCCCCCGTGCCCGCCCCGGACCACACAGTGTTCGAGGTGCTGCTGGAGACGCGGGCCAGCTCGGAGCAGGCGCGCTGGCTGCTGCTGCCCGCCCACTGCTGCGCGGCCCTGGGGCTGCGGCCCGAGTCCAGCCCCGTGCTGGAGGTGCAGTTCCAGGTCGACCCGCTGCCCTTCCGCCTCTGGCACGAGGCGGTGGATGCGCTGCCCGAGGAGCGCTTGGTGGTGCCCGACCTGCAGGCCTGCGCCCTGCCCTGCCCGCGGTCCAGCCCGCCCGCCCTGTTCGGCAACCTCAAGCAGAAGCAGGCCGTGGAGATGATCGCGGGCGGCAGCCCCGCCGGCGGGGAGCCCGTCCCCCCGCTGCTCATCTACGGCCCCTTCGGCACCGGCAAGACCTACACGCTGGCCATGGCCTCCCTGGAGGTCATCCGCCAGCCCCGCACCAAGGTGCTCATCTGCACGCACACCAACAGGTGAGCCCGCTGCCCGGGCCGGGTGGGCGCGGCAGAGAGGGCGTCAGCGTGCGAGAGGAAGGGGCGCCGGGGCCTGGGGTGGCGGCTGGGTCCCGCGTTCCCCAGGCTCGTCCCAGAGCGGTCGTGCCCGGGCTGCCTGGCCGCCAGCGGGGCAGGGCCTGGGCTGGGCCGCCCTGTGTCCCCTTGGGGCGAGTCGCGGGCGGTCCAGTCCTTCCTTGGGACTCTCCCTGATAGATGGCTGGTCGCGGGCTTCCGGCCTGGGCCAGCTGCCCAGGGAGCCAGGGTCTGCTGCCCGGGTGTGGGGCTGTGGGTCCCTCCACAGACAAGGTGGGGCTGTGGGACAAGGTTCCACCGCCGGTTTAGGAGAGACACAGCTTTAGGCCGGGCCGGCGCAGGCCAGGGGTCCGCCGGCCTCCAGGCGGGGCCAGGCACACGGCCGGCGCCTCAGCGGACCGTTGCCGAGGCCCCACGTGCCCTTGTCCCCCTCAGCGCGGCGGACATCTACATCCAGGAGCATTTCCACGGCTACGTGAGCAGCGGGCACCCGGAGGCCACGCCGCTGCGGGTGATGTACACCGACCGCCCGCTGGGCCAGACAGACCCCGTCACGCTGCAGTACTGCTGCCTGACCAAGGACCGCCGGGCCTTCCGCCCGCCCACGCGCGCTGAGCTGGAGCGGCACCGCATCGTGGTGGCCACCACCTCGCAGGCCCGGGAGCTCCGGGTGGCGGCCGGCTTCTTCTCGCACATCCTCATCGACGAGGCCGCCCAGATGCTGGAGGCAGAGGCGCTGACCCCGCTGCGCCACGCCCTGCCCCACACCCGCGTGGTGCTGGCGGGGGACCACATGCAGGTCACGCCGCGGCTCTTCAGCGTGGCCAGGGTGCAGGCGGCCGGCCACACGCTGCTGTACCGCCTCTTCCAGCTCTACCAGCAGCAGGCGCACCCGGCCGCCCGGCAGGGCCGCCTCATCTTCCACGAGAACTACCGCTCCACGGAGCCCATCGTCGCCTTCGTCTCGAAGCACTTCTACGTGGCCAGGGGCACCCCGATCCTCGCCCGCGGCAAGGTCCCGCGCCACCCCCGGCTTTACCCGCTCATGTTCTGCCACGTGGCGGGCGTCCCCGAGCGCGACCTGTCCCTGACGTCCTGGCTCAACGCGGCCGAGGTCGCCCAGGTCACCGAGCAGGTGAAGCAGCTCCACGAGGCCTGGCCCCACTGCTGGGGCCTCCGCGAGCAGAGGAACATCTGTGTCGTCTCCCACGGTGCCCAGGTGAGCCCCGCCCCGGCCTCCCTGGCCTCCGTTTCCCCTTCTGCACGAGCGAGCCGGCGGGGAAGTCCTCTCCCGGGGACCCGTCGGGCGGGAGCCCTGCCTCCATGCCGGGGCCGGCGTGGCTGCGGGGAATGCCCTGCGCTCACCGGGCCCTGGCCGTGTGGCTGTGCGTCCGCAGGTGAGCGCGCTGAGGCAGGAGCTGAGAAGGAGGAACCTGGGCCAGGTGTCCGTGGGCAGCTTTGAGATCCTGCCAGGTGTGCGATCGGGGGCCGGGCCCGGGGAGGCGGGGGCAACGACCCTCCGCAGCCCAGCCGGCCCGGCCTGAGTGCACGTCTGCCCACAGGCCGGGAGTTCCGGGCGGTGGTGCTGAGCACCGTGCACAACCACCAGAGCCTGCAGAGCCCGGGCGCGCCCGCCCTGGAGTTCTTCACAGACGCCCGCGTGCTCAACACCATCATGACCCGCGCCCAGTCCCTGGTGGTGGCCGTGGGCGACGCCGTGGCCCTCTGCTCCTTCGGGGCCTGCAGCAAGCTCTGGAAGAGCTTCATCCGCGAGTGCGTGCAGCACCGCAGCGTCTGCCCTGAGGGGCTGTCGCTGGAGCACATCGAGCACGCGGTGGTGCAGAGGCAGCGCTGGGCCCGCACCAGGCGGCCCGCGGCGCCCCCTGCAGAGAGAGCTGGGGCAGGGGCGCCCGGCGACGCTGTCCCAGAGCAGGGAGGCGCCGTGGAGCCTGCGGCCGAGGGGGGCGCCTTCTCGGCCAGCGTCGCGGGGGCCGTGGAGACAGCCGCATCGGAGGCAGAGGCCGGTGACGCGGCTTCAGGGTCCGGGTCTGGGGGGCACCCGGCCGTCAGGGACGCGGCGGCAGCGGCGGCAGAGAGCGCCGCTGGGGCGGCGGCTGGGGCGGAGGCCACAGACAGCGAGGATGACGCCGAGGACTCCGAGCCTGACTTCTGGTCCTTGGACGGGGAACTTGACACCGACGACTGCATCCTGCGGGAGCTGCTGGACGAGAGCCGGAAGGTGGCCGTGACGGTGCGGGAGGACGGGCTGCTGGACGCGGTGGCCCAGCCTATGCCCGCGCAGCAGGCGCAGCAGTACGTGAACCTGCCGCAGGGCGTGATGCGGAGGCTGCTGCGCACGGAGCCCGAGCTGCACCACAGGTGCACCTTCGTGCCGGAGACCTTCGAGCGGGCGACGGCCATGCCGCTGGACGCCGCGGGGCCCGGCCCCATCCAGCTCCGGGGCCGCCTGCACTGCGGGATGGCCTTCAGCGGGGACGAGGTGCTGGTCAAGATCCTCGACGGCGACCGGGCCGCGGCGGGGCGGCCGCAGGGCCGTGTGCTGGGCGTGCTGAAGAGGCGGCGCCGCGAGCTGCTCTTCGTGTGCCGCATGGACGAGTGGGACCCGCGCCTGATGGCCCCCATCGACTGCTCCGTGACCAAGATCTTCGTGGCCGACCTGAAGGACCCGCTGCAGGTGCCCATCCACCGCGTGGTGCAGGGCCGCTTGCAGCGGGTGCGGCACGAGCAGCTCCCAGCCCAGGCCAGCCGCCGGCGGCTCTTCTGGGTGCGCATTGTGGTCTGGCGGGAGCGCTTCTACTACCCACTGGGCATTGTGCTGGAGGTGCTGCCCGAGGCCACCACCTGGGAGCAGGGCCTCCGCGTGCTGGACCTGGACTACGGCCTCCGGGAGCCCTCGCCGGACCCAGCCTCGGTCTCCAAGGCGCTGCAGAAGTACCACGAGGAGCTGAGCCGGGCGCCCGGCTCCCGGGAGGACTGTCGCAGCTCCCTGACCTTCACCGTGGACCCGCAGGGCGCCTGCAACCTGGACGATGCCCTTGGCGTGCGCGAGCTGGGCCCCCGGTATGAAGTGGCCGTGCACATCACTGACGTGGCCAGCTTCGTGCCCAGGGATGGGGCCCTGGACATGGAGGCCCGCAGGCTGGGCATCGCGGTCTACGCCCCCAACCGGGAGCCCACGCCCATGCTGCCCGCCAGCCTCTGCCGCGACGTGCTCAGCCTCGCCCCAGGCAAGGACCGCTTTGCCCTCTCGCTCTTCCTCACCTTCGAGAAGGGCAGCAACCAACTCAAGAGCCTGCGCTTTGCGCCCTCCGTGGTCCGCTCTGACCGCCAGCTGTCCTACGAGGAAGCGGAGGCGGTGATCAGGGCTCAGCCGGGCGCCGGCCGGGAGCTGCCCGCGCACCTGGACTCCGTGGATGCCTGCCTCGTGGCTGCGTGCTATTTTGCCCGGGTGCTACGCCGGCGTCGCTTGCAGGCCGCCTGTCCCTACGAGCAGCCAGACGAGGACAGCACACTGGGCTTCCGCGTGGCCCACGCCATGGTCAAAGAGTACATGGTCCAGTTCAACAGTCTGGTGGCCGAGTTCCTGGTGGGCAGCGAGCTCACGCGGACAGTCACGCCACTGCGGTGGCAGCCCACGCCCAACAGCCGCCAGCTCGAAGCCATCGGTGAAAAGCACGGAGGGCTGGTGCCCCTGTCGCTGCACCTGAGGCAACACCTGCGCGGCCACGCACCCCCCAGCCCGCGGCTGCACCTGCTGGCCCCGCTGTGGCAGCTCGTCCGGCAGGCGGCCCAGGCCCGGGACGCCAACCTGCTGGCAGACCTCATCACCACGGACGACATGCACCCCTCGCTGGCCGCCGTGCGCCTGGACTTGCGCAAGGCCCTGGGCCGCTCCGTCTTCAGCCGCTCTAGCCAGGGCGCTGGGCAGCCGGCCAGCCACTACTCACTGCAGGTGGAGTGGTACACCTGGGCCAGCTCGCCCATCCGCAGGTACCTGGACGTGGTGCTGCAGAGGCAGACCCTGCTGGCGCTGGGCCACGGGGGCGCCTCCTACTCCGCCAAGGACATCGACCGGCTCTGCCAGGACTTCGGCCGCCAGCACGGGCGCGCCAAGAGCTACCAACGCCGGGCCTGCAGCCTGCACCTGGCCACGCAGCTCAAGGCCCGGCCGCGGCAGAAGCTGGGCTTCGCAGTGGACGTGGAGCCGGGTGCCCGCTGCTTCAAGCTGCTCTTCCCGGCCAACCCGGAGACACTGCCCGAGCCCTGCCCCTTGTTCTACCGCTCCCTGCAGCTGGCCAAGCACCCGTGCGGCCTGGAGAGCCGGCCGGGCCTGCGGCTGCAGTGGCGGCTCCGCGTCTACTCGGTGCAGGAGAACGGGCCGTGTCCGCCCCTGCCCGGCGCCCTGCTGGACCTGCACACCTGGCCCGTGGACTCTGCCCTGTGGCAGCAGCTGCTGGCGCTGGTGGAGGAGCAGCGGTGGCCGGAGGCGGCAGCGCTCGTGTGTGAGAAGGGCGCCGCCAGGCCGCCGCCGCGGGAGCTGGGGCGCGTGGCCCGCAGCCCCTGCACGCACTTCGTGGAGGTGACCCGGGAGCTGGTCAGCGGGGACACGCTGCAGGTGCAGCTCGGTGCCACGCTGCACCGGGGCCTCCTGGCGCCGGCCCTGCAGCTGTGGACGGTGGCGCCGGGCCTCAGCCTGTGCCTGGAGCACATGGAGCAGCCGGGCGACTGCTTCTCGGGCCGCGCCCCCCAGGCCGGGCGGGACAGCTTCCGCCACGTGGAGGACTACTGCAGCGTGTGGCAGCCTTTCTGCTCCCTGGAGTCGGCCACCAGCGCCGTAGCTGAGGGTGAGAGTGTCACGCTGCAGCGCGTGTGCGTAGCCTGGGACCCAGAGTGCACGGCGCAGGGGCCGCTCCGCGGCAGCTTCCACCTGGGCACTGCCTTTCTCCGCGAGCACAGCATCGACATCGACTTCGACCACTGCTACCTCTGCCTCCGGCTCGAGGGGCTCCGGGCCGCGCCCGAAGCCGCCGGGGACCCACGCCCTGAGGCCGGCCCTGGCGCGCCGCCCCCGGCCGTCCCACCCTGCGATGTCCCCGTCCTGAGCATCGACCCTGACACCTACACCTGGGTGGCCCACGGGCTGACGGAGGCCTTGGACCCAAATCTAGAGGAGCCGGGCGACCGGCGACAGACCGCCAAGCAGGTGCGCTTCTTCGTCCAGCACACGGCCATGCAGAGGGCTCCAGAAGAGGTGCTGAGGCCTGGCACCCTATTCACCATTGAGGTGCTGCCCCAGCAGCTTCCTGACATGTGAGTGGCTTCCGCGGGGCTGATGCTGGGGAGAGGCTGGCGGGCGGGGAGGGGCACACACTTCCGGGGGCCCCTTCTTCTGGGAGGGGGTGGCAACGGGACAGCAGTCCCTCCCAGGAGAGTCCTACGGAGGTTCCAGTGTCCACCTCCGCCCGCCCACGTCCCCAGCCGCAAGGAAGAAGCCGTGTGTAAGCTGCAGGAAGCCTCCCAGCTGGTCATCAGCATCGCCCTGGGCCAACCCATCGCCCTGCCCCGCCACCTTCCTGGCCAGCAGCCCCTCCGCAGAGGTAGGCGGGGGGCCCTCCAGCTTCCCCGAGCCCCTACCCCAACCCTGGCCGGCCCAGCGCCCGAGCTCAGGGAAGTCCGGCCCCCTCCTCAGGGACCCCCAGCAGGTACCTGGAGCGGCCGGACTTCGACCTGCCCCGAAGCCTCCGCAAGCTGAACCCCAGCCAGAACAAGGCCGTCCGCGAGGCTCTGAAGAAGCCGTTCACCGTCATTCAGGGCCCGCCAGGTGAGGCCCGCGTCGGGGGCTGCAGGCGCCCGGGGGCCGCCGCCCGGGGCCCTGCTCACCCCAGGTCTGCCCGCAGGTACGGGGAAGACGATGGTGGGCTTCCACATCGTGTTCTGGTTCCACAAGTTAAACCAAGACCTGCTGCCGACCGGCAGTCCGCCCTGCATCTTGTACTGCGGCCCCTCCAACAAGTCGGTGGACGTCGTGGCAGGTGTGCTGGCGCGGCCGCATAGGGGCTGTTGTGCGGGGGTGCCGCTGGGCCCAGGGACTCACAGCTCCCACCCCGCCCGCCCCCAGGGATGCTGCTGAGCAGGAGGGCGGAGCTGAAGCCCCTCCGCGTGTACAGCGAGCAGGTGGAGGCCACTGAGTTCCCGGTGCCTGGCGTGAGCAGCAGGGGCCAGCCCAGGAGAACCCCTCGGGAGTGGCGGCCCAACCCAAGCCTCAGGTGCGGCCTCAGGGCCGTCTGTCCGCCTGCCTGCCTGCCGGCCTTTGGGTGGAGGTGTCAGAGGGTCCTGCTTTGGGCCGCGGGCAGCATGGGGCTCACGGAGGCCGTCCCCCCGCCCCCCAGGAGCATCACCCTGCACCACCTGATCCGGCAGCCCTCCAACCCCTGTTCGCGGGACATCAAGGCTTTTGACGCCCGGCTGCTGAACGGGGAGATTCTCTCCGAGGAGGAGCTTGCTTTGTAAGTGGCTGCGGCCGCGGGGCGGTTTCCCGGCTGCGGGGCGGGGTCCCTGGGTGACCGGACGGCGTCCCCACGCAGGTACAAGAAGATCCTGGTGAAAGCACGGAAGCTCGAGCTGAGCCGCCACAGCGTCATCCTGTGCACCTGCTCCTGCGCGGCCGTGGCCAGCCTCAAGGCCCTGAACGTCCGGCAGATCCTGGTGGACGAGGCAGGCATGGCCACGGAGCCCGAGACCCTCATCCCCTTGGTGAGGTTCTCGGGGGCCGAGAAGGTGAGACGGCCGCGCGCGGGGTGCCCCAGGCAGGCGCTGCGTTGGCGGGCGGCGGGGGCGCGCCCCTGGGACTCAGGGCGCGGGCCGAGGACCGGCGGAGGGGGGGCGGCAACCGCCGAGGGTGCCTCCGGGCCCAGGGCAGCGGGGCCACGCCTGTCTGTCCCTCAGGTGGTTCTTCTCGGGGACCACAAGCAGCTGCGGCCTGTGGTCAAGAACGAGCACCTGCAGAGCCTGGGGCTGGACCGGTCTCTCTTCGAGAGGTACTACAGGGAGGCCCACATGCTGGACACGCAGTACCGCATGGTGAGCTGGCCCGGCCGCCGCGCCCCGCCCCCTGCCCCCGGGCCTCCGGCTGTGACCCACGTGGGCAGCCAGGGCCCGTCCTGGCTCACGCTCTTGCCGGCAGCACAAGGACATCTGCGCCTTCCCTTCCATGGAGTTCTACCAGAAGAAGCTGAAGACCTGGCAGGGCCTGCAGCGGCCGCCCAGCATCCTGGGCCACGTCGACAGGGAGAGCTGCCCTGTCCTCTTTGGCCACGTGCAGGGCCACGAGCAGAGCCTGCTGGTGTCCACAGATGAAGGGAACGAGAACTCCAAGGCCAACCTGGACGAGGTGGCAGAGGTGGTGAGTGCCGGGCGGTGCCCGGTGGTCAGGGAGGGCTTCCTGGAGGAGGAGGCGGAGGGGCAGAGGGAACAAGGCTGGGGAGGCACCAGGGCCGGTTTCGCCAGTGCGCCCTGTGCCTCTCAGGTCCGCATCGCCAAACAGCTGACCCTGGACAGAACGCTGGAACCCAAGGACATCGCCATCCTCACGCCGTACAACGCGCAGGTCGCTGAGATCAGCAAGTGCCTGGCGCAGAAAGGCGTCTCGGGGGTCACTGTGTGCTCCATCACCAAGAGCCAGGGTGAGGTGGGGAGGCGCTGGCTCTGGGCAGGGCTCCGGGGCCGGGGCAGGAGGCTGGACCTCACGGTGTCCCTGGCCCCCAGGGAGTGAGTGGCGCTACGTACTGGTGAGCACCGTCCGCTCCTGCCCCGAGAGCGACTTGGACCGGCGGCCGACCAAGAACTGGCTGAAGAGGTTCCTGGGCTTCGTCGTGGACCCCAACCAAGTGAACGTGGCCATCACCCGGGCCCAGGAGGGGCTCTGCATCGTCGGTGAGGGCCGCGGGGGCGGGGCGCGCTGGGCCGGGGGCGGGGCGCGCTGGGCCGGGGCGGGGGCGGGGCCCGGCCTGCGCGGGGGGCGGGGGGGCGGTGGGGGGCGGGCCGCGCTGACCGCCGCCTTTCGCAGGGGACCACCTCCTGCTGCAGTGCTGCCCGCTGTGGCGCCGGCTGCTGGAGTTCTACAGGGCCCAGGGGTGCCTGGTGCCCGTCGGGCAGGTGCGCGTGCGGAAGAGGCCGGCCGTGTCCTCCTGAAGCGCCCCTCCCGCGCCCCGGCCCCCACCGCCTGCTGCCCTTCTGCGGCCGGACGCCCGAAGAGCCCTGCCCGCGCTGCCCGCGCCTCGCCCCGCCTGGCGAAACCCCACGTGCCTTCGGTGGCCACTGCTGGCCACCCGCGCCCGCTGTGGCCTGCGCATAGCGACCCCCTTCTAGAGCCTCGGAAGCCGGCCGGGAGCGCGAACTTGGGGGCAAAGGGGAGGGCCTGTCCCCGCCCTCCCTTTCGCTGCCCCCAGAGAGACAGGACACATCTCAGGGGTGGGGGCTGTGCCGCTGCGGAGTCTGAGGTCAGGAAGAAACCCCAGCTCCTCGGTCTCCGACGTCATCCAGCCGCACTGGGCACTGGGCACTGGACGCGGAGTTCAGCTTTACTTTCCGTTTTTAAATAAACCAAATTCAATTTCTCTTTTTACGGGGACAGGGTCCTCGGCCCACACGCAGGGCAGAGAGGTCCTTTCTCGGCCACCGCTGGCCGGCTCACCCGGACCCCCAGCCCTGCGTCCCTCAGGGCCTCGCCCTCAGCCCGTGGGGCCCCTCGGTCTCAGTGCGTTTCCTGCTGTCCCCACAGGCTGGGGGACACTGCAAGCTGCTTGCGCCCGGAGGGCCCCGCTCCACCTGTGGCCTCTCCCCGGGGCAGGGGGCGGGGGCGCGTTGGTGTGTGTCTCCTGCAGAACTTTGTACAAATCAAATGTGTACATTCCATGCTGGCCGGTGGGGCTCAGTGGACGGAGCGCTGGCCTGCAAGCCAAAGGGTTCAATTCCCAGTCCGGGCCCAGGCCTGGGTGGCGGGCCAGGTCCCCAGCGGGGGGCGTGTGAGGGGCAACCGCACAGGGATGTGTCCCTCCCTCTCTCCCTCCCTCCCTCCCTCTTGTCTAAAAATTAAAAAAAAAAAAAAAATTTTACAAGAAATCTCCACATTCCAATTTTGTATCTTGTATGATTGCACATTAATTTTATTATAAAGGCTACTCTGCTGTCACCTGTGCCTGTCTTCAGGTCTGTCTGGGGCCCCGGGGGCGCTTGCTCTTGCTTTGGGCGGCGAAGCGGCGGCTGAGGCTGCGAAGCCCACGGTGGCAGGTGCTGGACGGGGAGCGCTGAGGACGGGGCCCCCGACCGAGGCGGCGAGAAGGCCAGCAGGGGGGAGGGGCCGCCGCCACGGGCCACGTCCAGCGGCAGAGGCCTGCCCAGCCCTCTGAACTCTGGACCTTAGGCGGGTCTGGCTCCAAAGTCTAAGTCCAAAGTCCCCAAAGCTGCCAGCAGGTCCCTTCTGTCCAGGACGTTGGGCACCACACGTGCCAACCTGGGCGATCACTCACGTGTGTGTGTGTGTGTGTGTGTGTGTGTGTGTGTGGCTAAGCCCCGTGCCCACGCGCCCACCCCACCCCAGGGCGCGGCTGCACAGAGGAAGGCATGGCCAAGCCCTGGCCTATCTGCGTGGTCACCGGGAGGCCAGAGACAGGGCCACCGTAGGGAAAGGCGTCTCCCGCCTCTGCGTCCCAGGTGTCACTGAGTCTTCGACTGAGCGGGCGGGCCCTGCCTGGGCGAGGCCTGCGCGGCCGACGCGACCACCTTCCTCCAGAGGTGAGCGTGCGCGCGGGGTCACATGGCCGCCCTGCAGGGCAAGGGCCGACTCCGAAGGCAGCATCAAGGGCGCCGTCGGCCACGTGAGCGGGACACCAGGTGTCGGCGGGGGTCGGTGGGCTGGGGCGGGGCGCCCCACACAGGAGCTCGGGGCCGGCCTGCATTTTGGGGACGCTCACCCCCTCAGCATGGGGGTGCCGATGAACTTCAGCTTCATTTGGGGAGAAGATAAGACTTTTATTGCCAGGTTAGAAAGACAATGTCCAGCCCCAGCTGGTGGACTCAGTGGACGGAGCGCCGGCCGGCGAACCACAGGGTCGCCGGTTCGATTCCCAGTCGGGGCCCAGGCCTGGGACGCAGGCAGGTCCCCAGCAGGGGTGTGTGAGAGGCAACCGCACATGGATGTTTTTCTCCCTCTCTTCCTCCCTCCCTTGCCCTCTCTCCAAAAGTAAATAAATAAAATCTTTACAAAAAGAACGTCCCGTTGGCCTCGGGCATCCTGACCCCGAGATGCTAGGAAATGCCTGCCCCCGATGAGCTCCGGCTGGGCAGGACCCGGGGCTGCCGGTCCCCCCGGGGACCCCGGCCTAGGAGGGAGGAACAGGCGGCCGGAGCCTTGCCGTGGCCCCATGGCTGGCGTGGGCGACCGGGGAGCCTGGGGCCGATGGGGCAGAGACCCTGGGGCTGTGGCTGTGGTCGGCGGGCGCAGCCGGACGCCAGGGCTGGTGCTTCTCGCCCCAGGGTTCCGCGGCCCAGGAGGGGCCGGCCTGGGCACCCCAGCTGCCGGGGGCTGCGCCGGGGAACACGCTCCTGGGGTCGCTGCCGCCCCGAGAACGCTAGGTAGGCTCGCTCCTCTGATTGCCTGTGCGTGTTTATACTCCTCTTTATTAGCGGCTAAAGACTAAAAATCATCTCTCGGAAGCTGTGGTCATGGGCGGCCCGGCTTGCCCAGCCGACTGGGGGCGGGCCCGTTGGGGGTCCGCGGCCTGGTCTGCAGGGTGAGGCTGTCCTGCCAGGGCTCGTACACCAGCGTGTAGCTCTCCGCCCTCTTGACAGTGAACTTGTAGACGCGGCTGGGCAGCAGGTTGTGGACCTCGAAGGTGCAGGCGGCCACAGGGATGAGGCCGCGCTGCAGGTGCTCCTGCTGCGTCCGCGGGTCCAGGAGCTTGAAGCGCAGCTCGAACTGCTCAGGCACCGCCGGCTGGATGGTGACGAACCAGCGCAGGGCCACCCAGTCCTGGTGGGCCACCGACTCCTTGCGGTCGAACATCACGGGCATCTTGGTGCTGAGCATGAGCCGGATGTGCGGGATCTTGGTGGCGCCGACGTCGGACACCAGGCGGTGCTTGATGTGCAGACGCCCTGGCACCATCAGAGCCAGGAAGTTGTCCATGACAGCGGACAGGTCCGCCCGCCGCCGCTCCACGAGCGCCCAGCCTGCCAGGAAGGGCCGGGGGTCCGGCGACTCCAGCAGGGCGTCCAGCTCGGCGCGGCCCTGGTCCAGCTGCTCCAGCAGGTCCCCGAGCAGCAGCAGCTGGATCTTGGTCTGCGCGGTGCCCACCTTCTTCATGCGCTGGAACTTCCAGGGGTCGATGAGCTGGAAGACCGTGCTGGGCAGCACCAGTGGGTTCTGGTCTCCCAGGGCCAGGTGCTTGGGGAGGATCTCGATGTGGTAGGAGCACTTCTGCAGCAGCTCCATGCGGGCGTGGTGGCGCTTCAGCAGGTGGGGGCTCAGGTCGCAGGCCAGGAACTCCCGCAGCGAGTTCCGGCGCGCGGTGTAGGTCCTCCAAGCCTCCGGCTCCAGCAGCTGCCCCTCTTCCGCCTCCTCCACCTCCTCCGGGTCCAGGAAGGGCCGGGGACTGTTCAGCTTCATCTCGGCCAGGCCCAGGCCTGTCACCTGGAAGGCCACTGTCTGCAGGGAGGGGCGGGGGTCGGGCGTGAGCCGGAACGGGCGGGCCGGCCTCTGCTCTCCGCCGCCCCCGCCCCGGGCTCCCTCGGGGCAGCGTTCCTGCGTGGCCCGTTGCCCCTGAGCTGGGCGCTCGATGCTTCCCAGGGGCCTCGTGGGGAGCAGCTCTGTGGCAGAGGCTGCTGGGCGGCTGGGCGGCCGGGCTGCAGAGTCGTCAAAAGTAGGCCTTTGGGCAAACACGGCTGACGGTCGGTCACAGCAACGCAGCGCACGGTGAGGCCGGGGCTGGGCTCTGGGCTGGAGCAACTTGGGCGGAACCCCAGCCACTGACTAGCTGCGGGGCCTGGCGCAGGCCGAGGGTCCTTGTCGGAAATGGGGAAGCTGCTCCTCAGAGACCGTGAGAGGCCTCAGGGAGGCGCTGCCTGGGCAGCCCCGGGGTCCCCTTCCGGACATGGCCGCGCCCCGGACCCTCCACAGCTCACTGCCGGCACGGGGCTGCGGGCAGGCTCACCCCAGGCCGGGCCAGTTGGTGACCAGGCCCAGCCGGGGGGGGGCAGGGTGGCCCCAGGCCTCAGCTCTGAGGAAGAGTCATGCTGGCCCCAGCCACCAAGTCCCTGCTGTGTCCGGGGGTCCCATGGGAAAGCCCCTTACAGACGGGGTGCTGGAGGCCCCAACGCTTTGTAGCTCCCTCTCAGTCCCGGGCCGGAGGCCGGAGACCAGCCGTTGACCCTGGAGCCTTACCTCCTTCTGGGCCACCACCTGCCCTCCCCGGTGCCTGGCTCTGGGCGTCAGCGACCCCACAGCTGGGTGCGGCGGGGGCCCCAGGCCCGGGTGAGAGAGGCCACAAGGCCTCCGGGGCTGTCCTGGCCGGCTGGGGCTCTTTGGAGAAGGAGCTGGCATCCCTGGCTGCTGTCCCAGGTCCCAGCTGTCCCCAGGAGTCCCGCGGCTTCGCCCCGGAAAGCTTCACCCAAGGGCGGGGCGTCCCAGAAAGACCCAACAGAGCGAGCGACTTGCTTCAGAAAGCACCGCTCAGTGGCAGAGTGAGGTTGACCTTGACCTTCCCAGGGCAGAGGAGCTGGGCCAAGCCCAGGACTGGCAGAGAAGGTGGGGGGATGGGGCAAGCGACCAGCCCAGACCAGGACCCCAGGCCTGTGGCCCTAAGTTCTGCTCTGGCCTCTGGGGGGACCCTCGCCCCTGGATCTGGCCACTGGTCCGGGATGTTTCCAGCCCACAATGGTCCCGCAGGTAGAAGCAGCCCGCAGGGGGCTTGCACTGGCCTCGGAGGCAGGGAGGCCCACCGGCGCAGAGCCCCGCCTTCTCCCTGCGCCCGCAGGCCCGCCTCCCTGGGCCCACCCCGCCTCCGCGCGTCCCGCCCGCGGGCCTCACCCAGCCACTCTGCGTCCGGTCCACTCGCCCTGCCGCCCGCAGCGCGCGGGGCTCTGCGGCTCGACTGCGCGAAAGCCGGGACGTCCGGGTTTGCGCCGCGGCGTCCGCCGGGTTGCCATGGGTACCGCGGGCCTTTGTGACGTCCTGCGGGGCCCGGGGGTGGGGCGACCCGGTGCCGTCCGATCCGCGACAGGGGCGCTGCGGGAAGGCGGCGTGGGGCGCGCTCCGTGCTACCAGGGCCCTGCGTCCCGGCTCGGAGGGGCCGTCCGGGGGCTTTGCTCCGTCCCTCGGGCTGGCCTGGGGCCACCCACCGCCGCCGGTCGAGGGCCAGGCGCGCAGGCGGGACCCGCCGGGGGAACAAACCGAGGCGCCGGCCCTGCGCGCGGGGACGCGGCCGTGAGTCGTCGCGGGCACAGCGCTGCCTCCACGGGGCTCCTGGGTGGGTGGGAGTGGCAGCCTGTGGGTTTTTTTGTTTCTCTTTCTTTAGCTAGTTTGTTTACAATTAAACTTTTATTTGTTTGTTTAGTTTTTCGATTTTTATTTATTTATTTATTATTAGAGGCGGGAAGGGAGGGCAAAAGAGAGAAGCATCCGTGCGTAGTTGCCTCGCGCGCGCCCCCTGCTGGGAGCCTGGCCCACAACACAGGCCTGTGACCCCTTTGGTTCGCAGGCCGGCACTCAGTTCCCTGAGCCGCACTGGCCAGGGCGACGATTAAGCTTTAATTTGAGATGGTTGTAGGGCAGACCCCGGCATAAGCCATCCCAGGGACCCCGGAACCCTTTGCCCGTTTCTTCCGGAAACTCCGTGGAAGAGAATGGCAGGGCAGTGACGCTGGTCACCAGAGCAGAACGGTCGGCCTCGCAGGGACCTGCCTCCCTTACCTCGCCCCCTCCGCCACCGGAGCGCCCGTTGCCCCTGGCGGCCATCCAGCCCTGCCCGTCTGTCCCAGGAGAACCTTGCACACGGGGGGAGCCCTGGGGACAGTCGCCGTCCGCAGGCTGTGGGCAGCCCCGCCGGCCGGTCCTCTCGGGGCCACATTCCGAGGCACAGCCTGGGGGCGGGGAGCACAGCCGAGCTCAGACGCCCCATCGCAGGCCCGGGGTGGGGCGGCCCAGCCGGAACTCCAGGGGGCCCCCACTCAGCCCAGCGGCAGGCCTGGTCTGAGTTTTCGCTCTGGGGCCGTCAGCTCGGCGTCCTCACAGAGAGGGACGTTGGGGCACAGGCGGGTCCGCGCCTTGCCTGCGGCCAGCGAGCCCGTCCGGGGCTGTGGGGGCCTCCGCCTCCCTCGCCACCCCCACCCTGGCCCCCAGCTGTGCTGTCTCCAGTTAGGGCGGACACAGAGTCAGGGAGCCCCCTGGTGGCAGGGCCCTGCGGCCTTGGCCTGCGGGCTGAGCGTGGGGGTGTCCTCTGAGCCTGTCTCCCGGTTGCCATCACCTGGAGACAGGAGAGGGCCAGCCTTCTCTCTGAGCTGGGGGAAGGGATCCCTGCTTCCCAGCACAGCGCCCTTGAGGAGGGACAGACAGACCTGGTTGGCTCACCTGGAGGAGGGAGAGACCTTGGCCCACCACGAGGGTCTTTGGGTTTTTTCGGGGGGCTGACAGGAAGCCCGGGGACCAGGCTCCGGGGGCGAAGCCACAGGGCCTGGAGGGCCCTCCCTGCCTGCCTGGCCGCCAGGAATGTGCTGAGCCCAGAGGCCGGACCGCGGCTCTGGGGGATGCACGTCTGCAGGAGGAATGCGTCCAGCATCCAAAAGGCGCTCTGCATGCTTGACCCCGAGCGCTGCAAGCGCGGACAGCAGAAGTGGCCCCCGCTCGGCTGGGAGGCCCCCACACCCCCGCACCGGGCGCCGGGTGGGCCAGGGGCGTGGCTTCCCAGGAGGAGGAGCCATGTGTCTCCACGGAGGGAAACCCATCTGCCAAAACCCAGGCTTGCACTTGGAGCAGCAGGTGGCTGGCGGGGGCTGCAGCCGGCCCAGTCAGTTCTGTGTTTGTAAATATCTCCTTAACAACCCCCCCAACGGGATGTCTCAGTGTCACGGAGCATCCCCTGGGGCCCCCTGCCCCTCCAGATCATGGTGTGGCTGCCACGCCCATTGGTAAACTGCACCGGCTGCCCCAGGTGGGTGGCAGGGAGCCCCCCGAGGTGCAGCGCGCAGAAGAGGACCCGCGGCCTCCCGGGGGCCGGTGGGCGGACAGTCTCCCGCCTGTGTGTCGGGTGTGGGTGCCGACTGAGTTCAGGGAGTGGGAGGAGAGGCTGCAGATGTGGCCTCGGTCACGGACCCGGGTGCCTAAGGGGCTGGGCTGCGGGGGAAAGAACAGGCTCCCTGCCTAGGACCCCGACTCCCACAGACCCCGCCCCAGGGCCCCCTTCCGGAGCCTGGCTGGCTGGGGTTTGCTCTCCCCACCTGGCCCAGAAGTACAGGCAGACCTGGGTTCACCTCCCGGGCAGGGCAGCACCACCCCCTCCGGCGGGCGGGCGGGGCGGAGGGGTTGCCCCGCCCCCCGGCTGGTCCGGGACGGCTCCTGCCTTAGCCTCCAGCGGCCCAGTGCACTCAGGAACCAGTCCTGCCCACCAGACGCCCTAGAGGTGGGGAAGCGGAGCGGCCAACGCCGTGTGTCCTGGGGGCTAGAGGGCCACCCTGACCCCCACCCAGCCCGGTCCGAACACCAGCCTGGAGCCAGGCAGGGGCCTGTGCAGTGACCTGCCTCCCACACCTCGCGCCGCCGGGACCCACCGGGCGAGGCCACCGCGCGCCGTCCCACCGGCCCTTCCAGTTTCTCCCTCCTCGAAAGCGCCCTCCCCTGCAGAGCTCTGGGCTGCTCGGGACGCCCGGGCATGGAGCCCTTCCTCCGGAAGCGGCTGGCCTTCCTGAGCTTCCTCTGGGACAAGATCTGGCCGGCGGGCACCCCGGACCACGGCCTCCCCGACTTCCCGGACCCTGAAGCCCACGCCGAGTGGGAGTCCCCGGCCACTGACCCCTGCACGCCCCCCGCACCGGGGCAGCTCTTCCGGGTGCTGTACGACTTCACCGCACGGTGCGCGGACGAGCTGAGTGTCAGCCGCGGGGACAGGCTCTGTGCCCTCAAGGAGGAGGGCGACTACATCTTTGCCCGGAGGCTCTCTGGCCGGCCCAGTGTGGGGCTGGTGCCCCTCGCCTACGTGGCCAAGGCCACCCCCGAGACGCCCTCAGACCAGCCGTGAGTACCGCCCGCTCTGGGGGTCAGGGATAAGCGGACAGAGCCTGGAGTGGCCGTCCAGGATCACGGTGCGCACTGTCCTTCATGCCCTTGGTGGCCCGGCTGCTCCAGGCCCGACCGCAGAGCCGGAGCACAAAGCAGTGGCTGTGCCCGCCCAGGTCCGGCAGCGGGTCGGCTGGAGGGTGTGCTGCCTGCCCCTGGCAGGTCCCGCTGGGACTCTCTGTCCAGCTGTCTGGTCAGGTGGGTCCTGGAAGGCATGTCCCAGGGGGCCCTCGTCCCACAAAGCTTGCTGAGTGGTCGCTGTGCAGAGGGAGGGGTGAGGGTTGGGGATGCGGCTGGAGGGACACAGACACGCCCCTGTCCGGGATAAGAGTGTGTGGAGGTGCCCTCCAGACGCCCCCTTGTGCCCTGAGGGGGGTGGGGGAAGTGGTTGGGGGACAGAGGGAGTCATCACAGGCTGGGCAGGGTCCTGGGCATGTCCTCACCGCGATGGCGCTGGGCCTCAGCCTCACGCAGGCCTCTCCTGCCTCCTGGGGCAGTTGTGGATTCAGGGGGGAGACCCCAGCGACAGGAAGTCGCCTTCTGGTCTCTGCCCGACCCCTGGGGCTGAGCAGCTACTCTGATGGCGGGGGCGGGGGGCACAGCCAGGCCCCTGGAGGGACCTGCAGGGCCGGGCCGGGGAGGGGCCGAGAGGAAGAGCTAATGACTATCTGCCGCCAGAGATGAAAGGGCCGGCCGAGCTCACCGGGTCATTAGCCCCAGACACCTGTCCCTGCGCAGGACCGGCTGGGTGGGCCGGTCCCTGCCCCACGGTCAGGCCTCCTGGCAGCCCTGTCACGCCCACGGCCCGTGCCCTGTGCCCCGCGCCCCGGGGAGGGGTGGGAGGCATCCCTGCGGCCCCGGGTCTGCGTGGGGTCTCAGCTCTGCCGGCCCGCAGTCCCGTGAGGCAGGGCTGCGCAGAAGCCCCCGCGGACGTGGGCGGGGCCTGGCGGCCTCAGGGCTGCAAACCGTCTCTGTCTCCGATTTTCCCGCCTGCCCAGCCACGCCCCACGGCTCCGGCTGTGTGGGTTCTCAGCCCGCTCCCCAGGGTGGGCGCGGGCCTGTCTCTGCGCGCCCCCACCAGGCCCTGCCCTCGCCCGGCTCCAGCGGCACCCACTTGCCCAGCTGTGCCCGCCCGGCCCCCTCTTTTCCGGGCCCTCACCTTGCATTGACTTGCTTTCCGCCACGGCTGGGCCGCCGGCAATCGGAGAGCCAGCTCCCTAGGCCGACCCTCAGGGTGGGTGAGGGGCTTGCTCCCAGGGCCTCCCCTGGGGGGCCTCCTGCCTCTGGGCCTCCAGGAGCCCCGGGTATTGGGGGCCCCAGGGGGAGCTAACTCAGGTGGGGGGCTCCCCCAGCTGCACCTGGCGGGACTCAGGCGGGGAGGGCAGATGGGGGACCCCAGGCCGGCCCCGCCCCCCGCCCGAAGGGCTCGGCTGTGGTGACTGACGGGTCTGGCCTGTGAGCAGGGCTGGTGGCCTCTTTACGGGCAGGACTAGGGGAGAGTCTGGCCGGGCGGCGTGGGCAGCCTGGCCCGACAGGTCGCGGCCGCTGGCTGTCAGCGCTGTGCCGGTGCAAGCGGTTCTCCTTTCCGGTCCCTGGTGACTCCAGAGGCCTGGCCCTGGGGGCGGGCGGGGGGTGCCGAGCGGCCCAGGCGCCCTCTGAGCGGCGTGGGGCAGGGGTCCCGAGGGCCAGGCCTGCCCGGTGACCGCCGCGCCGCCCTTTGCAGCTGGTACTTCAGCGGCCTCAGCCGCACCGAGGCCCAGCAGCTGCTGCTGTCCCCAGCCAGTGCCCCGGGCGCCTTCCTCGTCCGGCCGAGCGAGAGCAGCCAGGGTGACTACTCGCTGTCAGGTACCAGGGCCCCCTGCACTGCGCAGCCCCCGCCAGGCGGACCACTCTTGAGCGCGAGGTCCTGACCCCGTGCCCACCGCTGGTCGCCTCCTCCGCGAGCTCATCTCCTCGGCCCCTGCCTCCCTCGGTCACCTCGAGGGCTGTCCCCAGCACCCACCGGGCGCCCGCCCCGCTCTGCGCCCGCCCCCGGGCCTGTTGCTGTCCGCACGCCCCCTTCTCCATGCGGCTCCCGCGTCTCAGCCCCTAGCAGGGCGGCGGCGGGTCTGGGCACCGTCTCCCTCTCTGCACCCCCAGTCCGGGCCCACGCCAGAGTCCGCCACTACCGCATCTCCACGGCGGCCGACGGCAGCGTCTACCTGCAGAGGGGCCGCCTCTTCCCCAGCCTGGAGGAGCTGCTCGCCCACTATGCGGCCCGCTGGAAGCTGACCCAGCACCCGCTGCTGCGGCCCTGTGCGCCCCAGGTGGGCCCGCCCCGCCCGTCAGGCGCCCTTGCTGGGCCTGAGACACTGCCCGGGGGCCTGGGGGCCTGGGCGCCCACCTGGCGAGCCCTCCACGCTGGCTGGGCCCGGCCTGGGGCTGGGTCTGCTGTCGGAGTCCTGGGTGGAGGAAGCTGTGGGGGAGATGCTGGCCCCGAGGACCACACCTGGGGCGCACAGCTGGGCCGGGGCCGCAGTCCCCGCCCCCGCCCCTGCCCCCGAGCGGCTGTCCAGCCCAAGCCCCGCGGCTGCGACCCAGTTCCTCCGGTGCCGTTATTGGCAGCCTGACACCTGACAGTGCAGTAATGGGTGCCTGTGGGGGGCGTGGTCTCCGGCAAAGGTGCTGCTTGGGTCTGACAGTCGGTGGGGCCAGGCCGGGGGAGGTCAGCACCCGGCACGCCCCGCCCCGGCCACAGCCCGCCTCCAGCGTGTGCCGGGTGGGCGGAGGGGTGGGGCCGCGGGCGCAGCAGAACCCTGAGCGCCCCTCCCCCCCGCAGACGCCCCCGGAGCAGGACGAGTGGGAGCGGCCGCGCTCCGAGTTCGCCCTGCGCAGGAAGCTGGGCGAAGGCTACTTCGGGGAGGTGTGGGAAGGCCTGTGGCTGGGCTCGGTGCCCGTGGCCGTCAAGGTCATCAAGTCAGGTGGGTGAGGCCCCGCCCCCGCGCCTGGGGTGCCCCCCCACCCCCCCCCGCCGGCGGTGCGCGCGGGTCCTGGAGCCGCCCCCCCCTCCCCGCCCCCCGTCTCCCGCAGCCGACATGAAGCTCGCCGACCTCGCCACGGAGATCCAGACGCTCAAGAGCCTGCGGCACGCGCGGCTCATCCAGCTGCACGCCGTGTGCTCCGCCGGCGAGCCGGTGTACATCGTCACCGAGCTCATGCGCAAGGGCAACCTGCAGGCCTTCCTGGGCAGTGAGTGCGCCCTCCCGCCGCCTGCCGGGCCCGGGACGGGGACAGCGCCCCCTCTGGCATGGGCCCTGGACGGGCGCGGGGCCACCTGCAGCCCAGAGGCTGCCATGGGCTCCGGCCAGCAGCGGCCAGGCCTGGGCTCTGTGGAGGGGTGGTCAGAGCGCTGGGTCCCGGGCAGGTGGGGCGGCCCCTGTACAAGGTCTGAGTGGACCCAGCGCTGCCCGGGTGCCCCTCCCCACATTGACCCCTCTCCGTCTCTCTGGTGGGGACCCAGGGCAGTGGCCGAGGGCCGCCTGCCCCGAGCGGTCTCCACAGCCGCACCAGGGCCGCCTTGTCTCCGAGGAGGAGGCTGCGGCACAGAGGGTGGTGGGCGCGAGGAGGCGCGCCCCTGACTGCCGGCTGCCCCGCAGGCCCCGAGGGCCGAGCCTTGAGCCCGCCGGTCCTGCTGGGTTTCGCCTGCCAGGTGGCCGAGGGCATGAGCTACCTGGAGGAGCGGCGCATCGTGCACCGGGACCTGGCGGCCAGGAACGTGCTCGTGGGCGACGGCCTGGCCTGCAAGGTGGCCGACTTCGGCTTGGCCCGTCTGCTCAAGGTCAGGGTGGGCTGGGGCCAGGCCGCTGCAGGGCAGGGCAGGGCAGGGCAGGGCAGCGGGGGCGGGGAGGGCGCCGCCTCACCGGCTCCACACGGTGCCCCCGCCAGGACGACGTGTACTCACTGAGCCGTGGCTCCAAGATCCCGGTCAAGTGGACGGCGCCCGAGGCCGCCAACTACCGCGTCTTCTCCCAGAAGTCGGACGTCTGGTCCTTCGGGGTGCTGCTCTACGAGGTGTTCACCTACGGCCAGTGTCCCTACGAAGGTGAGCCGCCCGGCGGCCAGCGGGAGGGACAGCCCTGGCCCCGGGGGTGGCTCGCCCCGAGGGGCCCCAGGCCTGGAGGTGGAGCGGTGGCGGGGCCCGGCGGGGGAGGGCGGGGGCGACCCACGGTGGTGACGCCTCCCCCCAGGAATGAGCAACCACGAGACGCTGCAGCAGATCGCGCGAGGGTACCGGCTGCCGCGCCCGGCCGCCTGCCCGGCCGAGGCCTACGCGCTCATGCGGGCCTGCTGGGAGGCCAGCCCCGAGGGGCGGCCCGCCTTCGCCGCGCTGCAGGAGGAGCTGGGCGCCATCCACCGGCGCCTCCACCCCGCCCTCACGTGACCGGCGCCCTGGACGCTGGGGACACCGGACTGGGCCATGGGGCCTCCCTCAGGACCACGGTGGCCTCAGTCCTCTCTGGGGTGCCGGACGCCAGCCGGCAGAGCCCCCGGCCAGCGCCTCCTGGGCCAACGCGTGTGCGCGCCAGCTCGGAGAGCAGAGGCTGGCGCCCTCTGGCGGGGGCGGAACTCGGCGGAAAGGCGGGGCGGAGCCTGCCTCTGCTCCTGCCTCAGGGAGACTGGGCGGGGGAGCCCGGGGGTCCCCCGCGGTCCCCCGGAGGGGCAAGAGCAGCAGGTGCGGCTTCCCATTGTTCTCCAAAGTCCCGCCGGGGCCTTTGGAAGGGGCTGGTCGGGGGGCTCCCAGGCTGACCTCAGGCCCTGGGCCCACTGCGGGGGGTGGCCACCGCCTCCCAGGAGCACACGCTGCCCAGTGCGTGCAGGAAGGCAGCGCTCAATAAACACGTGTGGACTAAGGCAGACACGCCTGGACGCGCGCCACACACGGGCCTCAGCCGCAACCAGGGCTGGCGCTGACGCTGGCAGGCGGCCCCCCAGCTGGGTCATCAGGGCGGAGCCCCACCCCCAGGGCATCTTGGTGTCCAGCACAGGGGACCCAGAGGCGGACCACCCCCTGCAGGAGCCATGCGGACGGCCTGGTGCACCGCCTCCCCAGGCTGCGATGGAAGGCAGGGCGGGGGCGCTGGGGCAGACCGGACAGGTCAGGCTGAGGGCAGGGGGCCGTTTGGGGCCAGGGAGTCCGCCAGCGGCCGTGTCCCAGTGGCTTGTGGGGACAGAAGGGACAGAAGCAGGCAAGGCCACCCTCCGGTGCACCGCTGACCACAGCCCCTGGGAGGTGAGAGAAGCGGCTGCTCCCGGCAGGGGCTGCTCCAAGCACAGGCGGCTGGGGGTGGGGACAGCCCGCAGGGACGAGGCAGGAATGGGCCGCTCCAGGGCCCGGGTCTGTCTGGCTGCGGGGAGGGCGGAAGCCCCGTGGAGCCCAGCCCGGGGTGGAGTCAGGAAGGTTTGGTCTGAATTTCTCGGGACCCCGGGCTGCAGCCGCAGGGCCCAGGGCTGGCGCGGGCGTGCAGGCGCAGAAGGTGAGGGCTGGAGCTGAGCGGCTCCGCTTCAGAGGACGGGGGACCCCCTGGGAGGGGGCTCTGGGCACCGGGAGCGGCTCGGCCCCTTCCCTTGGAGCTGCTGAGGACGTGGGAAGGCGTGTGTGCCGGGCGCGGTGACCCGCCCAAGAGGCGGCTGTGCGTGGGGGTCATCCTGGGTATCTCGCCAACCGCAGGCCAGACAGGTTTGTGCTCTGGAGCCTGTGGGCGGAGCCGGGGCGCTCGGTCCGGAAACTCCCGCTTCCTGGTGTGACTCAGGCGGCATCCCGGCACGTCTGCCCCCAGCGGCTCTCGGGGCCCCGGGCAGACGTGGGCTCCGCGGCCGGGCCCAGGGCCGCGGGGACGGGAGTGCACTGGTGGCAGGCGGAGCCCCCGGAGCCCCCGGGCCGACAGCCGCCGAGCGAGCGGCCCAGCGGTCCCGGCCCGCGGGGCGCTGTCCCCCCCCACCCCATTGCTGGGTCAGAGCTGAGCCGAGCTGCCCGGCGCAACGTCTGTGACCCTGTTGAACAGCACACGCCCCCGTTCTCACTCTCGAGGGGGCGTGAGTGGAGCTGTCACTCTCCTCTCGACAGAGGCTCCCGGCCTCGCCCTCCTCCTGCCCCGGCTCAGGGTCCCTGCGCCCCCACCCCGAGGTGGGGAGCAGCTCGGGCCAGGCCGCGGGGCCCACCCCACATCCACTGCCCGTTCCGGGCCGCCCGCTGTGGCCGCTCCGGCTCTGGCCGAGGCCTGGGAGCGCGTGGCGCGGGCACGAGGTGCAGAGGCGGCACTGGGATGCAGGCGGGGCTCGGGGAGAGGCACTGATTGACACACTTGCGGCCCCAGCCGGGGGCTCCCGCAGCAGCCTGCCCCCAGCCTGCCGTCTGGCCCGTCTCGGTCCCGGCGGCCCTGGGGCGGACGGAGGGCAGTGGCTTGTCCGTGGACCTCCATCCCCACGCCCCTCCAGCTCCGAGACTCAGACCCGAGGCTCCGGTCCCGCCACGGTGGTCCCGCCCTCCCTCAGGGCTGAGGCCCAACCATGGGGTCGCTTGGCGGGCACCCTTCCCGCAGCAGGTGGGCGGGAACCGCGTCCAGGCGGACCTGGCCCCGGGGGCAGGACAGGGGATGCCCGGGGTTCCTGGCGTGGCACTGGCAGCCCTGGGGCGGGGCCTGTCACGCCCTTCCCGTCCTGGGAAGTCACTGGGCTGGGGGCGGCCTGCCAGAGTCGGCCCCGCCCACCCTCCGCTCCCAGCCGCAGGGTGCGCAGCCGCCCAGGGACAGGCGGGGAGGCCGGGTGGCCGGCGCTGCCGCCATGGGGTCGCGGGGCCAGGCTCGCCAGGGCCCCTGGTACGTGGGCCTCTGGGACTTCGAGGCCCGGACGGACGAGGAGCTGAGCTTCCGGGCAGGGGACCGGCTCCAGGTGACCAGGAAGGAGGAAGAGTGGTGGTGGGCGACGTTGCTGGACGCGGAGGGCGCGGTGCTGGCCGAGGGCTACGTGCCTCGCAACTACCTGGCCGAGGAGGAGACGGTGGAGTCCGAGCCGTGAGTGCCCTGGGCCCGCGCAGCACTGCGCTGCCCCCTGCCTGGCCCCGCAGCCCCCGAGAGCTCCGGGCAGGGCGGCTGTGGGACGGGGCTCCACACCTCACCTCATGGCTGGGCTTGGGGCAGGGGCAGGGGTGCGGGGCGGCCAAGGAGGCACGGGGTTCCCTGTGCCTCCCCGTCGGGCCGGACCCCACGTTCTCAGTCCCAGGAGTGTGACTGTGCTTTTGCTGGGTGACACCTGGGGGTGGGGGCAGCGGAGGTGTGTGGCCCCCCCAAGCTCCCCCAGGGGGACTTCATGGGGTCAGGACCAGAGGGGACAGAAGGGGCTGAAACAGTCCCCGGGGCGGCCGGCGACAGGGACGGGTCTGCGTGGGACCCGAGGCAGGGCTGGGCCTTTTGGGGAGCCACCTTCGCACGGCTGGAACCAGACGTGCGACCCAGTTGGGCAGGGAGGAAGGTCGTTGCGACAGACATGCCCTCTCCGGGCGTGGGCTGCGGGCGTTGGCCCTGCTGCCCTCCCAGCTGCCCTGCTCCTGGCAGGTGGCTCCCAGAGGCGGCGGCCACCCCGAAGGGCTGCCCAGGACACTGGGGGCCCGGGAGCGCGCTGTGGGGGCGCATCTGTGCATTCTGAGCTCACTCCTGGGAGGGGGTGTTCAGCAGGAGGGGCCCCATGGCCCGTCCGTGCCCCCGATCCTGGGGCCCCTCGCCATCGGCCCGCCTTGCCCGAGCGCCTGCCTTGCGGCGGATGCCGGGGGGGCCCGGCCAGAGGGAGGCCCAGGCCCTGAGGGGTGCGCGCCCGCAGTTGGCGGTGGCACCACGGGGAGCCCCCGAGGCGCGCAGGACGCGTCTGCAGCGGCGGCGATCTCTCTGTGGGGCCGCGTCCCCACAGCGCTGGGGGGCGGGGCGCGAAGGGCTGCGCCGCTGGCAGCAGAGGTTGCGGGGGGCGGGGCGGGGGATCTCGGGCCCCCCTGTGCAGCCCGGAGTCCAGGGCTCGCCCGTGACCTGTGCTGCCGCTGCTGCTGCTGGGCTGGGTGGGACGGGCATGGGGGTGCGTGTGAATGCGTGTGCACAAGTAAGTGTGCATGTGTGCGCACAGGGTGTGTGGGTGCGCATGTGCAAGTGTGTCAATAAGTGCGTGCATGTGCGTGAATGTGTGTACATGTTTGAATGTGCATTAACAAATGTGTGTGGACGCGGCCACACGTGCATAGCTGCTGCTCAGGTCCCTGGTGCCAGAGTCCCCGGTCCCTGCCTGTGTCCCCAGTCACAAAGGTGGCCCCCGGAGCCCAGAGCAACGTGGGCCGTGGGCCGATGGCAGGTCCCTGGGACGCGGTCACAGGCTGAGGACGCCCCAGGCGGGGTGGGGGCATGTGCCCGCCCCCTGCTCCCCGGGTCACAAGGGCCTTTCCTGGGGTCCAGGACCAGCCACTTGGGACATTTGGGGCCTGTGAGGGGCAAAGGAGGGGCCTTGGGTCGGAGACCGTGTCAGAGAGCGGGTGGGGGCAGGGGCCGGGACGGCGTCAGCACCCCCTCTGCCCTGGCCCTGCAGGTGGTTTTTCGGCTGCATCTCCCGCTCGGAGGCCTCGCACAGGCTGCAGGCCGGTGGCAACGGGCCGGGGGCCTTCCTGGTCCGGGTCAGCGAGAAGCCAGGCGCCGACTACGTTCTCTCCGGTACGGCGGCCCCGTCCCGGCTCCGTGGGGCCCGGGCTTGGCCCAGCGTCTCCTTCCCTGGAGCCCTTCCTCGCTGCGTGCGGGTAGCCTGCCTTCCGGGCCCGCCCCCTCCGCTTTCGGGACCCCTTCCCCGGGGATCTCAGAGGCCCTGCGGTGGGCGGCTGTCCCTGTGGGCCGGGTCTTCTCCGTCCACCGTGGGGAGGGCCACCAGGCGGGACACGAGGCGTGGCACCTGCCCACGGCCCCTGACTGGCGCGCCGCTGAGGCTGGGCGAGGGGCGCCGGGGGGTGCGTGTGCCCGCCCTCTCACGCTGCCGCCCGCCCGCGCCCCCGCGCCCCAGTGCGGGACAGGCAGACCGTGCGGCACTACAAGATCTGGAGGCGCGCGGGCCGGCTGCACCTCAGCGAGGCCGTGTCCTTCCCCAGCCTGTCCGAGCTCGTGGGCCACCACCGGACGCACAGCCTGTCACACGGCCTGCAGCTGGGCCTGCCCTGCTGGAAGGTAGGGCCGCCCGCCGTCCTGCCCGACGCAGCCCTCCGTCCTCGGTGGCCTGGGCCCGCAGGGTCACGTAGGGTGGCGTGGGACTCGGGGGGACTCTGGCTGCTGGAGGCTGAGGCCCCACAGACCTGGGGGCGGCAGGTGGGGCGGAGGGTGGCCCCCCTGTGGCCGGTTGCTCTCACCCTTGGGCCCACCGGAGGTCACGACACCTCTGCTGTGACAAGGGCCGTGTGCCCCAGCCAACAGCTGGACAGGCCTTTTGTCCAAGTGGCGCCTGGGCCCGCGTCCCAGGCCCAGAGCAGGCGGCGAGGGGGGCGCGTGTACAAGACACGGCAGGGGCAGCCCCCGCAGAGCCCAGCCACTTTGCTGGGCGCTGGCACCCTCCCCAGCCAGGGGCCGCCGGGCCTTTGCGGATCGGCCACGGGCTCCCCTGCTGGCGTCAGGGGGCGTCCCCGAAGGACTGGGGGGCCCTGGGTGGCACCCCTCCCAGCCCGGTGTCCCCACCTGTCCCGCCAGCACGAGCCCGAGCCCCTGCCTCACTGTGCCGACTGGGAGAGGCCTCGGGAGGAGTTCACGCTCTGCAGGAAGCTGGGGTCCGGCTACTTCGGGGAGGTCTTCGAAGGGCTCTGGAAGGGCCAGGTCCGGGTGGCCGTTAAGGTGATAGCGCGAGGTGAGCAGCCCCGAGCCAGGGGCTCCGCCCGCCCCCCCGCCCCGCCTGCCCCGCCTGCCCTGCCAGCAGGGGCTCCTGGCCTCGCTCACGGGGGCAGGGGTGGGGGCCGCGCGGGGCCCCTGACGTAATGTGGGGGTGGCGTTTTCCTCTCAGCGGGAAACGGTCTTACCTAAGCACGTCTGTTGTAAAGGGCGCGTTACATTCTGGATGGGTGTGGAAAGCCGCCAAAATCGGTCACGGGAAATCTGAGAGGCCCACCCGCAGCCTCCTCGGGGGGCACCAGGGCGGGGATCCCCCGCCCGGGGCCCAGGACGCGTGGGGCACATCTGGCGTGGGCAGGTGTTGGCCAAATGCGGGCCCGGAGGGTGCCTGGCGTGGTCGGGCCCAGGGTGGGCTTGCGGAGCCTTCATGGAGCCCCCAGGGGTGCAGGGGTGCAGGGGGATGGGGCTGTGTCTGCCCTGGCCCTGGGCCTTGGGAGCGGGGGTCGGGGAGGGCAGCCGTGTTTACCGAGGGTGGGCGGGTTGGGGCTGCACCCACCGAGGCCGCCCTTCCCGCAGACGACCTGCTGCACCAGCACGTGTTCCAGGCGGAGGTTCAGGCCATGAAGAAGCTGCGGCACAAGCACATCCTGGCGCTGTACGCTGTGGCGTCCCTGGGCGACCCCGTGTACATCATCACGGAGCTCATGGCCAAGGGCAGCCTGCTGGAGCTCCTGCGGGGTGAGCGGGCGGACGCTGGAGGGAGGGGAAGACACCCCCCATCGCCCCACCCCTGGCCCAGGCCGGCCAGGGACCGCCCGCGGCCTCGGCCAGACCTGTGCCACAGGAGACGCCTGGGAGGGCCGCGGCGTCTGCTCGTTGTGGGGATCTGAGAACAGGCAGATGAGGACACACAGGGAGCCCCGCGATTTCCCCCGCCGCCCGAGTGGGCGGGGCCACGGGGGCCGGCGTGGCCCTGCGTCTGAGACGCTCCAGCGGGCAGAAGGGGGCTTGGCCAGACGGCCACGTCCAGCGCGTGCTGCGTGTGCCTGGGGAGGTTTCCCCCGCCGCCGTTTGGAAAACGCGGACGTGGAATTGCCCACGGAAGCGGGATGGTTGCGGACAGTGCCCCTTGTCATTGACTGTCCTTTAGAAATGAGGCCCCGACAGCCTGCAACCCCACGCGCAGCCGGCGGCCTGTTGGAGCCCTGAGCTTTCCCCCCGTGTGAGGCTCTGTGACAGGTGGGGGTGTGCTCCCCGCAGGTCCCCAAGAGGGCAGCGCACGCATGCGGAGGGACCGCGAGGGGGCCGACGTGGAGCTGCCCCCCAGACGGGCGGCAGGGGCCACGGCCACCCACCCCGGCCCTCCGCCGGGCGGGCGCCCCGCCGGCCCCCCGTGACTCTGGCCCCGTCCCCCGCAGAGTCCGACGAGAGGGCCCTGCCCGTGCCGGAGCTGGCGGACATCGCCTCGCAGGTGGCCGAGGGCATGTGCTACCTGGAGTCGCAGAACTACATCCACCGGGACCTGGCTGCCAGGAACATCCTCGTGGGGGAGAACAACGTGTGCAAAGTGGGGGACTTCGGGCTGGCCAGGCTCATCAAGGTGGGGCCTTGGAGGGCAGGGCGGGCGGTCCCCGAGCAGGGACCGGAGCTGAGGGCTGCGGCGCTGGGGGTGGGGCGCAAGGGCACAGGGCCGCGGAGGCCACCGGCCGGTCCAGGAACCGAGGGAGCTGGGGAAGCTGCCACACGGGCTGGGGGTGGACAGGCTGCTCGGGGGCGGGCCGACCATGACTCTGCCTGCGTCCGGAGTTCGTGCGGTGCTGGCTGCTCGGCCAGGTTTTGGGGTCTGTGACTTGGGAGCGGGTGGCTATCTGTGGGCCCCTCTAGGCCTCCCAGGGCTCCCCATCTGGCTCCTCTGGGAGGAGCCCCTTTTCCGGACCCCGACTTCCCAGCGCTGCCGCCTGCCTGTCCTCCCTCTGCCTACCAGCCCAGGGCGGCTGCTCCCTCCAGGGGCAGCCGGGCCAGCCTGTGCCCCCACGTCCCGACGGTGCCCACACTGCACGCAGGGCGGCCCACCACGCCCGTCCGTGCTGCGGGACGTGGGTGCCCCCCCCCCACCGGTGCGTCTCATTGCAGGAAGACATCTACCTATCGCACGACCGCAACGTCCCCTACAAGTGGACCGCGCCAGAGGCCCTCGCCCAGGGGCGCTACTCTGTCAGGTCCGACGTCTGGTCCTTCGGGGTCCTCCTCCACGAGATTTTCAGCCGGGGCCAGGTGCCCTACCCAGGTACCCGGTCCCAAGCGGGCCCCCGCCCGGCAGGGTGGGAGGGGGCATCACCCGAACCCCATTCCGAGCGCCTGGCGCTGCCCAGAGGGTGGGCCTGGGAACGAGGGTGTGGCCCCAGCTTCGCGGGAGGGGCCGTGGCCACCCAGCACCCGCATCCACTCTCCGCAGGCATGTCCAACCACGAGGCCTTCCTGAGGGTGAACGCAGGCTACCGCATGCCCTGCCCCGCCGAGTGCCCCGCCTCCACGTACAAGCTGATGCTCTCCTGCTGGCATTCGGACCCGGCCGAGAGGCCCTGCTTCAGAGCCCTGCAGGAGAAGCTCTCCAGCTTCACCCGCTACGAGAACCCGGTCTGAGGGGTACCCTCCCCACCACACCAACGGCCCCAATCCGGCTAGGACCGCCCTTGCAGCTGAAGACCCCCTTGCAGTCGGGGGCCGAGACCGCCCCTTCTGAGACTCCAGCACCGGGGGCTGGCCGGGCCTTCCTGTGAGCCCGCAGCTGCCTGGGCAGGACCGACCTCTTTCCAGAGGGTGTGGAAGTGTCTCCGGCACCGACCTGCCGCCACCAGCTCGGCCAGAGCCAGGGCGGGCCCCCAGGACAGCCGGCAGTGGGGACCTGGCACTGCCTCCCCAGCACTCGGCAGATGGGGCGCCTGGGAGAGCCGCCCCCACCCTGCCTGGATGCAGGGAGGGCAGGGAAGACAGCGGCTGCCACCTCTGGGGGCCACACGCTCTGCAGCTGCCTCGCAAGGGACACAGCGTCTGCAGCACCGAGTGGGGGGTTCAGCTGAGCCCCAGCTCACACCAAGCTGCCTGCTCCCAGCCACCAGAGGCCTGCAGACACAAAGCAAGCGCACGGCCCCATGGCCCTTCCCGGTTCCCCAAGCCGGACATTGCCCCAAGCCAGGCTGCCCACGGCAGGAAGGCCCCACGCCCTCCCCCCAAGCCTTGCGCACCTGGGGCCGTGGACCTGCCCCTCCTGGCTGGGGGCCCTATGAGAGGCTGGAGGAAGTGACCCCTTACAGGTAGGGACCCGGGAGACAGCAGGGACCAGTGCTTGCCCCATGTGGTTGCGACAGCCTTCGTCCTGTGCTCTCACCCCCCTCCCTGGTGCGGGGGGGCCTCATCAAGGCCCTTCACAGGGCTCGCCACTTGACCACAGGGGCTCGGACAGCTGTGGGGCCGCCCGCTCCCTCACCAGAACCGCTCGCCAAGGCGGGGCGCCTGGGCCGGCCTCAGAGCAGACCCCTGGGGAGAGGCCTCAGGGGGAAGGGCCAACTCCGCGCCCCCCGCCCCCCCCCCCGAGGTGAGGCCCTGGGAGGGCGCCTCCCGCAGCCCCGGACACACGGCTCCGGCACATGGCTGCTCCTCGTTTATTTTCCACTTGGTGCAAGGCTCGTGGTTAGGGGGCGTCAGGGAGCCTCGTGTGGGGCTGCGGTGGTAAAGAGCCGGGCTCTCGCAACTTCCTTTTTGGTGTTTTGCTGTTTTGACATAAAAGAACCCAGCTGCCTCTGTTGTTGCAGCCTGACTAGTCTACGGAGAGCGGGTGAGGACGGGGAGGGGGCAGGGCGGGTGGGGGAGGGGCTCAAAAGAGCCTAGCGCCTCGGAAGCCCGGTTGGGGCTGGCGGCCGCTCAGGATGGAGGCCCGACGTTGACTTTGCCGGGCTGGCTGCCAGGTGGCTTCCTCGTGGCTTCCTGAGCCAGGTCACAGGTGATCACGTTGCTGGAGGCCTGGGGAGATTTCGAGCTGCGGGAGAGAGACTGGGGTCAGAGATTGCTCCGCCCCCCCCCGCCCCGCCCCTCACAGGGCCCCCAGAAGGGGGACTCACTGCTCTGGGGATTCCAACACGGTCGCCATGAACGGGAGAGTGGACTTCCCAAAAAAGAAGCTCGCCCACCAGTGGCCTGGGTCGGCCTTGGGAAGACCTGGGAGAAACAAGTGGCGTCACGCCGCTGCTGCCCACGCCCACAGGAGGGGTCCCTCCCGACGGCTGCGGGACCGAGCGGACCCTGACTCACCAGGGTGGTGGGGGATGGCCTCCGCGGGGCACTCGGCACTTCCGCAGGAGCTGTTACTGGAAGTGGAGCCCAGGCGGCCTGGAGGGGAGAGGCAGTCAGCTCCAGCCCGCCGCCCACTCCGCGCGCAGCCGGGGCTCCGCGGGGCTGGGGCTGGCGGCGGACCTGGGCAGCGCTGCGGGGCGCGGCCAGGGGCTTACTCACGCCGGTAGTAGTCGTGGGTAGCCACGAGCGAGCCGCTGGAGGGGATGGCTGCCATGCTCTTGCTTATGCGCTGGTGGAAACCTGTGCACACGGGGTTGGGGAGCCCATCTGGTAACCCGTTGCCCCTCGGGAAAAGCGCTCCGCACCCGGGCTCCCGGTCCGCCCCCTGAGCCCTCGGGAAGGGCGGCGGCGCGGGCGTTGTTTACGCAGCCAAGTCCACCGCCTTGACTCACAGAGCGCCGGCGGCTCCAACCAGCCCGAACCGGCCGCGCGGGCGGAACAAAGGCGCTTTGTACGCGGGGCCGCAGTCTGGGGATCCGGGAACCGGCCGGGGCCCCCTGGGGACACCGAGCCCACCCCGCTTCCCCGGCCCGCGGGACCCGACCCCCACCCCACGGCAACCCTCCCTCCGCCGTTAGCGCTTTCCCGCCCGCGCCCTCCGCCCCGCCCGTCCTCGAGTCTTTCGGCCCATCTGTCGGTGTGTTCGCCCAGCGTTGCGCACCGGGCCGCCTCCGCCGCCCGCGGCTGCCGGGTCCTCACCTCGGCGGCGACCCCTCGCGGACCTCGGCGCGCGATCACGGGTGGCGGGAAGGGGGGCGCTAGGCCACGGAGCCCATTTGCACAGGAGACCGCCGGAGGCCGACCTGACCGAGACAGACGGGGTGCGCACGCGCGGGCCTGCCCGCTTATATACTGGCGCTGCGCTGGCGTCACGGGCGGCTGGCGCTCGGCCCCGCCCCCTGGCCGGAGGCCCCTCGGCCCGTCCGGCTCGCCAGCTGGGGCGGAAGTTCAGCCCGGCTGCGACCACCTGACCTGGGGTGGCCCGGGGAGCGCGGCCGGCCTGGCTTGGAGCCGTAGCGGTTACGTGGCCCTCCGCTGGTCCCAGAGCAGGGCCGGCCTCCTCTTCCCCAGCGCGCCGTCCGCTCAGACCCGCGCTGGTCCCGCCTGTCGCCACCTGCGCGCCCGTGGAGGCGGCGGGGTCGTTGGACAGTACCCCCTGCCCTTCCTGTCCGTGTCGGTTGCGGGTCACTGCGCTGGGCTGAGCCCCGCAGCCCCGCCTGCGCCGGGCCCGTCCTGGGCCGCGACTCTCGCTCACACCCCGCACGGGAGTCCGCCCGCCCTCCCACCAGACGCGGGCGCTCGCGGTGCCCAGGGGATGCTCTGCGCCCCGAGCGCGCCAGCCGCGCCTCGTGGCCCTTCCAAGGCTTGACGGCTAGCGAAAGCCACCGGGTCCCCTTCGCAGCCCTGGTCGCTCTGGACGCCAGTCCAGTTCCTCAGCTCCAGCTGGCCTACAGCTGCTTGCAAGGCCAGGGTGGGTGTGGTGGGCGGGGCCCTCGCAGGGGGGTTTACTTGAGTCGGAGGGTGGAGAGCTGCTGTTCGGGGGTTTCTCCAGCAGCCGGACTCACCCGACCCCTTTTTTGGGCAACTCCACGGTGCGGGGGGGCCCTTGCCACACCGCGGCTTGGCAATCAGGAGGAGGACTTCCTTTGGGATGTGGAAAGCAGGCCCTCCACCCGAGGCTGCCTCACCGGGCAGACGCCCCAACTTCCCCTGCAGGGAGGGGGCGTCAGCAGCTCCAGAACGTGGGCTCTGCGCGCTGGGCCCTGGTTGGCTGGGCAGTGTGCTTCCCCCACGGTTGGCAGGGTCCCGGAGCCCAGAGGGGATGCTGCCCTGAAGATTCCACACCCCCTGCCTGGCTCTCCACGTCTTCAGCGCCCTCCGGAGCCCTTCCAGCTTCCTGGACCTCAGTCCAGGTTCTCACTTATCAGGCTAGGAAACCAGGACCCCAAGGGGGGTGTGTGGCAGCGCCTTCCGCGGGGGGGGGGGGTCCTGGGAAGATGGAACCAGAGAGGGAAGCAGTGGGCGCGGAGGCCCCAGGCCCTCAGTGGCGGCTCTCGCCGGGGAGCTGGAGCTGCTGCGGTACCCGCCCTGTCAGTTACATACCGTTGCTCCGGCCACTGGTATTTGGGGAGAAGGTGAGATTCTGCCGAAGCTCCCCGGGCCCCTCGGCCGGCTCCCCAAGAAGGGAGAACGGGGCTCCACTCCAGGAGTGCGGCAGCCTCAGCCCTTAGGTTGCAGTCGGAAGACCTGCCCCCGGTGGTAGCCACTGGCTCTCACGCACAAGCTGGAGCCACTGGAGGTAATGCCACCATTTGCGGAAGAAAACGCCACTCCTGAATAAAGCTAATAAGTGCCTACTATGCGGGGAGGTCCTGGGGCAGCAGCAGCCACAGCTGCTGCCCTCCGGTTGCCTGGTCTGTAAGGCGGGGAGGGCCAGACGCACAAGGCTACGTTGAGGTGAAGAGGCGCCGTGTAAACGCTTAGGCTAGCACGTAGCACTTAGTAGGTGCACAGTGGAAATTAGATGCAGTCGTTTACAGCAGGTCAACTGGAGACAACACCACCTGTTGACTTGCTGGAACACAGTCGCCAGGAAGGGGTACTGCGCCTGCTCTGGGCCCCGTGGCCCGGGCGGAGTCGGCCACACCGGGGACTCGGCAGGGACGTGTGTGGTGAGGGGTGAGTTACGTCAGGGGGGCATCGCAGGTTCTCAGCATGAACGGCCGAGGCGGGTGGCAGGCCCTCTCTTCCCAAACGCAGATGCTGGCACCGGAAAACCATCAGATGCAGCCACTGGCGCTCTGGAATTCAGCCCAAGGCGCAAAACAAGGCAAAAAGTGTTGATTCATCAGGAAAACTAAATTTCAGGATGAAGTGCAACGGTCCTCGGCATAAAACACCAGGCGTCCCTCGGCTGGCGGGGAAGGCGGGGAAGCGCGCTCCCTGGCGCCAGCGGGGAGGTGCCCGGGTGCTGGGCACCCCAAGGGGGCTCGGAAGCAGCCGCAGCAGGAACCCACCCACGAGCGGCTGCGAGTGGCGGACAGTGGGTATGGCGAGTCGCGGCCGTGGGGTAGAAAGGACGTCTTCAGCCTCACGGAGAGCATCCCAGAGCACCTTGCGCAGGCGCGGCCAGCACCACCCAGGGTGGAGAAGGACCGAGTCCTGCCCTGGACCCGGCCAGGCGAGGCTGCCCTGCTCACGGGCAGCATGGTGGCCTGGCGTCCCAGCCCCCCCAGAAGAATGGCAGCAAGACGCGAGGCCCCCACACACGCGCCAGCCAAAGCCCTGCAGACTAGCCATGGACTCGTAGAAGCAGACGTGTTTAAAAATGCCGTTTATAACAGCTACTCTCTGCCCACAAAACACTTAGGTATGAACCCAAGCAAACGGGGATGGAACTCGTGTGCCAAAAATGAAACGCTGACGGAAGAAATCCAAGACGACCCGGGCGCACGGAGACCAGCGCAGACGGGATGCCAGGGCCCTGCGGGTGGGCCACTCCAGGAAACGTCCCAGGAAGTGCTTTGAAGATGCAGGCGAGCAGATCCCAAAATTAATTGGTGGAAAGAGGAACAAATGAACTATGATAACTAAAGCTTTTCTGAAGTCTGAGAATATAGCTGGTTAAAGAGTAGTAAGCAATGTGTTGCGACTCGGGGTTTGAGGACAAGGTCTCCCTCAGGGCCCAGGGCGCCCCTCACCAAGGCCCAGCCGCCTGGGTCGGGCCGGCTCCCTGCTCCAGCGGTCGACCGCGCGGTGCCAGGAGCTGAGAGCGCGGCTCCCAGTTGCTGATGAGCGCCCGGTCCCCAGAGCCGTTCTGCCCAGAGACGCCCCCTTGCACCTGAGGTTGGGCTGGCCGAGCACGGTGGCCTCCCGTCGGCCACTCGGGGCAGGGTCCCGAAGGGCAGCTCTGCTCTGGGTCAGCGCCCCAGGGGACCCGACCTCGCCGGGGAAGGAGAAGCCGCCGCACGCGGCACTGCCCCCGCTCGGTCCTGGCGCCCACCGCAGGGGCGGCCCCTGCCTGTCCCCCCAGCGCGCAGCCGGGAGACCGGCGGCCGCCCGCCCCGGCAGCAGGCGGCGCTGGGCCTGGGCGGCGCTGAGCCCCGGCGCTGGTGTGGGCGTCCGCCGCACGCAGGTGCCACCCCAGCCCCTGGGGCGGGAGCGCCGGGGGGCGGGGCCTGCGGAGCTGCTGCGCCGTCACCATGGCAACGGCCCCTGCCGCGCCGCCGCAGGTACCGGGCCCCAGACAGCGGCCCCGGGGGGGGGGGCGGCCGCGCGCCCTCCGCACCCTGAGGAGCTGCGCCCGTCTCTGCGCTTCCCTGGCGGCCTCAGGCCCCCTGCGCGGCACAGGGCGTGGCGGCGAGGGGTGTTTGGGCGCCTGGGTCGTTCTGTAAATCACCCGACTCCCCCTCCACGGGCTGGCGGGACCTGGGGGCCTGGCTGGCGTGCAGGTGCCTAGCCTGCCCCCCACGCCCGTGCCGCCCACCTTCCTTCTCCGCTCTCTGATTCAGGGGCCTTGACCTTGCTTTTCTGGGGGACGCTCCATAGCCAAGAGCTCCTGTGTACCGTGGAGGCCATTGAATTGCACCTCGCAGGCAGCTCAGTTTCCTGGGTGCTGGGTCCAGAGAGCTAGGTAGCGGGAGCTTGCCCCCGAGGGCCCTGCTGCGCAGGCGGGCGGGGAGACACGCCGGCTCTGCAGATGCCCGACGGTGCACACCGGTGCCCTGAGGTCAGAGGGCAGCCCGTGTCCGAGGCCAGGGCCGAGGTCAGCCCTCGACACCCTGAGGCCGTTCAGCCCCGCCCCACCGAGGCTCCGCCCCCGGGGCCGTCCTCTGGGCGGCCGGGCCCCCGCAGGCCGGCGGCGCGGGCACAGGTGGTTTTCGTGCATCCGCAGGTTATTCTTAACCAGCAGTGACGTCACCGGCAGCCAATAGGAGGCGGGTTTATTTCCAGGGCCGACAGCTTGAGGGCCGTTCCTTTCGGCAGGATCTTCTTTCCCAGGCTGGGGCCGCGCGTGTCCCCCCAACCTGCTCACAGAGCGGGCCTGGGGGCCAAGAAAGGGGGCGGCGCCTGCACCCCTTTCCCCTGCTCCTCGGGAAGGCGGCCCCAACTAAAGCCGCCCCCCACCCTCGGCTGCTACGCGGGGACCACTGTGACCCGGGGCTCTGAGTGGGACTAGCGGGATATGGGGGCGGGCAGCCCAGGTGGGGCCTGGGCAGGCTTCTGGCTCAGGCTTCCCACGCTGACCGCAAATTCTGCCCTCCTGGCTCCGTGACCTTGGGCGCTGTCTGTGCCCAGCTGGCTCTCCGTCCACCGGCCCCGGGCAGCCCCGCCCGGCACCGGGTGAACCTGCAAGGCTTGGTGACTGGCCGTTTAGTAGGTCACGTCGCGCGTAGCGTCGCTGAATGGCCGTTATTCCGTGCCATTCAGTAGTGAGAGATCATTTAGCCCATTCCACCCAGCGGTCTCTCGTGCTCGGCAGCCCCGCCTGATGGCTCGCAGCTGCCCAGCAGTTCCACGGCGCCGGGCACTGTCCCAGTGCTGGAACGGAGCACCCAGCTCGCCTGGCGTCACCCTCTGCGGCCTGAGCATCTCCAGACGGCGAGGCGCCTGGTTTCCAGGGCCCCGCAGGGCCGCCCGGGGGCCGTGGGGGCGTGAGAGGGGGCCCTCTGAGGACACGGCCGGACACACGTCCCTGGGGTCAGCGCGCAAGCCCCTGGGAGGTCACTGCCTCCCACCAGCAGCGGCCACTGCTCCAGGCAGCGTGGCCTCTCACACGGGCCAGCCCCCGCAGGGACGCCAGGGCCACTTGGCTCCCGCTGCCAACAGCTGCGGGGAGCCCAGGAGGGTCGGGTGG